TTATTTTATTTTATTTATATTTTATAAAATAAAATAAAGATTCTTCTATTAGGGTACAAATTGTTCTGTACCCACTATGTTTGTGCTACTATTTTATAGTATTGACATTTTATTTTATTTTATTTATATTTTATAAAATAAAATAAAGATTCTTCTATTAGGGTACAAATTGTTCTGTACCCACTATGTTTGTGCTACTATTTTATAGTATTGACATTTTATTTTATTTTATATTTTATCCTTTAATTTTATTTTAGCTCCTCACATTCAACAGCTACAAGACAAACAATTCTAAGTAAAGAAACAAGTTTGACACTCATGTTGACAAGAGCTGGATCTATTTAACTTGGTTTGGGAAGACAGATGAGAATGTTGCTCATTCGTCTTAGTCTTGTTATGAGAACTTACCTAAAGTCATTCATTTCATCATGACTGGATGGATGGAAAGAATGTGAGTTTGAGACAAGAATCAGTTAAGGGAGGAGGCAAAAACAGTCATTGCAAATGGTATTGAAAACTCATCTCTTTTCCCTTCTGTGCATGGAACATAGTGTTGTTCCAGCTAAGTTTTAACAGGACAAGAAAAAGTATATCCTTACATGCCCACATTCTCTTTCTCCACAAGTATTTACATGCTTTTGAACTTATTGAATCGAATACAATAAATGACTGAAGACAGTCAACACGGACTTTATCATTTTTAAGGGGTGGCCCCTAAGACACCACTCCAGATTGAAGGGAAGAAATTAAATATTTACAATACAATTTTAGCAATGAAAAGACACCCCCATCCCCAGATTTTTCTCAAGAAATTATTGGGTTTACCTCTTTGATTCACAGGATCTTTAGCCACATAGGCAACATAATCTGTAGTATCCTAAAAGACACATAAAACCAACAGGAATAAATATTTTTAATAGTAATATTATTTTATATTTCTAAATAGCCAATCTGTTGGACTACTAGGTTTCAGTGGTTAAAGAAAAAAAGGTTATAAAAATGACAATAAAATATTAAAGCACGCAGAAGACTTAGCTAATTGCATTTTCCAGTGACATGTGTTTTCCAGTCTAATCATCATTTTCCCCAATATACTGTCTTGTACCACTGGAATCTATTCCAAATCTGATAGGATTGATTTAATTATGCCACTAGCCTGTGTTAGCACTCATTCATAATGGAGTTTCATTTCCTTAATTATTTTTTTTAAATGCACAAATATTAGTATTTAAATACAAACTTCTATCTTTTTTTCTGAAAATACAGTTCCTCCAAGCATGCGTTTCTAAATGTTTTATCCTAAGAATACACATTTTGACATGTAGCTGGATAATTGGTTATTTTCTGAGCCAAGAACTGCATCATAAGATTTCAAGAAACTTTCAGTGGAATGTGGACCAAGTAAAACCTTGAAACTCCCTATCTTAATCATGTCTTCATACACTAGACGTATTGCTAAGTACTCCTTAGTCTATACTGCCTATCACGGCATATGCCCAACTCTGTCCTTCTCCAGCCTGTTGGCTCTAGTTATCTTGGAACCATTATCTCCGGAATTCCAAGCTGTCATGGCTGCTTGCTCTTGGACATGCTGGGTAGGAATTCAGTTGTATTCCCAACCCATCTGGCAGGCATTGGGTTGGGAAGGTCATTGTGGCCCCTGTTTGCTGTGTCTTCTTGCAATTCACATACAGTAGTAAGTCTTCATGGTTTTTAAACCAAGGTTTTTTGCTTTGCATTCTGGGCAAATCCAGTCATTGAAAATAATTCATGAAACCTTGGTTATCAGAAACCAGAGTGTAAGAACTAAACCACTGAGGCAGACAATGAGTCAATCTGGCTATTTGTATTTTCTCCAGTTTGGTATACAGCTATGCTGGCTAGGAATTAGGGGAGTGTAAATGCAAAACATCTGAGCATATTAGATAGAAAAGAGCTGGCCTACTGCAATGGTAAAATATCTTCATAATGTCTCTTGGATTTTTTCTTACTCTAGCTATCTTTCAGACTGAAGTTTCAACCTGGGAAAGAGAACCCTGTCATCTACTCATCAGATTGCTATTTTCTTCAAAACAAATTCTGGAAGATGAAGTTAAATAACTTGGAAATAGGTTCTGGCTAAAACAAGACAATTGGCCAGTAGAGTTAGATCCAGCACATTCTTAAATTGAAACTTCTATACTTACTGGATCCCCTCCAGAGGCAAATGAAATGGACTGCATATGATGGTTTGCAATAATCTGGGAAGAAAAAAGAAGAAATCTGTGGTGTCCGTGTACTGCTCATCCACAAACTAATGGAGAATTACCTCTGCAGAGCTCATCATATGTGGCAACTAAATTCTGCATACAGTATCTACTGGAGGTAGTCAGATAGAAGCACCCAGAAGCAGACAAGAAAGCCCACATTCTTTGGACAGACGAATTTCCTCCAACAGCCGCACCCCTGACTTCTTGGGTGTCATATGGAATCCCAAGGCTCCATTTGTGCACCCCTGCAATATCCTATAAAGATGCACATAATCCCTTGTTGGAGCCCATTCGGTGCTGTGGTTAAGGCACCAGGCTAGAAACTGGGACAAGGGAGTTCTAGTCCCACCTGAGGCACAAAGCCAACCGGGTGACCCTGGGCTAGTCCTTCTCTCTCAGCCCTAGGAAGCAGGCAAGGGCAAAGCACTTCTGAAACACCTTACCCCAAAAACTGCAGGGACTAGTCCAGGCAGTCGTCAGGAGTCAACATTGACTCAAAGTCACCCAAGCAAAACCAACCCACCCACCTTGTTAGAGTATTACAACAGGGTGCATTCAAAAACAAAATCTTTATAACAAGGGTTAGCAAAACATTGGATCTGCAGCCCGTGTTGCTTGGATCAGATCCTAAAGGACCAACCCTACCTGCTGGCTGTCAGTGTTCAGTAAAGTAAGACTGGTTGTTGAGATGGTCAGTTTTATATGTGTGCCGGAAAACTGAAGATTACTTTTGCCAAGCACAGGAGAGAGAAATTTAGCTGGAGGCTGTAAAGGCAAGAATAATGTTTATTTCTTATTTCATATTTCACTTAAAACTCAACAGCAGTCCATTGTTTCATTTGGAGATTTTTGTTACAAGGTTCCTGCCAGGGGGGTTGTGGTATATGCTAAGTGGACAATGTTAGAGGACCTAAGAGATATTTGCAAGATTTCCCATTAGCTTGAAAGTAGTAGCAACTCTGTTGGTGAGGCCAGGGAAATTAAAGGTTTTAAAAGCTCCATGCTAATAGGACAATAATAGTTAATTTCCAATAATTCATTATATGGAGTTTCCCTGAGAGATGCAAGTACATTTTATATGTATTGATGGTCCAAGTGAAATGTAATCTGGCCATTAGATCTGGAATTTCAGGACAACATCTTCCATTTATAACTTGTTTTCCACTGCTATGGCATCCTTTTTTTCTTCTTATTACTACAATCAATCTGTTCAGGAGGAATAGATGGATTTTGTTGCACAATGTTTTTTGATTAGTAATATTCCAAGGGCTTTGTTGGGAAGCACCCCAAAATCCAGTTTCTTAGTTTGTTTTTATCTTCTTCCCCCCTCCAATTCCTGTTTTTCTTTGCAAGTCAAGTATTTCAGAGATTAAGAATAGAAGCAAGAGCTTATCTGTGTCAAACATTCTGAGAAGCTGAAGAGCAGGGTAAAAAGGCTTTGAAATAAATAAAAATACAAAGGTGACACAACTGAAACTTCAAACCTCTTGATGCCCAGAGAGAGCTCTTTCTTTAAAAGAAGCTAATCTGCCACCAAAGATAGAGTATTTACCTTCCGTTTTTTTGTGTTCCCATGTATTCCTGGCACAGCTTCACACAGACGACTTATTGCTTCCCTAAAAAATAAAAAATAGAAAAGGATATATATCAGAAAGTAGGGGGGAACTATCAATTAGTGATTCGTGTAGCACTTAGTAGAAAATTTACCAAGTCCTGATGTCTCTTGTAAAAAGGACCAGGAAGTTTTGCTAAAAGAGAGCTCCTCTGGTAGAGGGACTAAAGAGCTGATGTCAGCCAGAAATGACAAGGAATACTAGATCATTGGAAATTCACATTTTAATAATCCATGATTTGTTTTGACCATGGCTTGTTGAATAAGCCATAACTATCAAGCTTTACACAACATGCTGATCAATAAACCATGTTTATGGACCATAGCGACTAATTTCATACATCACATGAAGCCAAGACCAAGGAAATCACATTATAGCTTAGATGTAACATGTAAATTTAACTGCTATCTGACATGGATAAGGCAACTTGAGGTTCCCTTATTACAGCCAGAAGGAAACCCCTTCAGATAAAACAATGAAGAGGTAGCATTCACATGATACATGTTAAACCACAAACTAGCCAGCCACGCTACAGCCTAGCATGTTAGACAAATTCAGCCTCTATGCTTTGTTTCTGGTTCCCTGTGTCATGTGAACTCTTATTTTTTAGTATTTCATAGTATCTTAGGGACTGACAAATTCATGATGGCCTACATTTTCTTGGACCATGGAACACCATCAGGTCATAAGCATTTCTGATATGATGAAGCAGACTTGATAGCCACCTACATTTATAGGAGAATAGAATCAACATTTTAAAGATGCCCTAAGACTCACTGTTGTTTTTGCTGATATGACTCTGCAGTGGATCTACAAGACTTCTCTTTAGGAAATCATTTGCCAACGTTTACTACACCAGGTGCAATTTAACTTTATTTAAGGAAGCAGCCAGTGTCAACTTATGAAGAATAGTTAAAGGAATTGAGTATGTCTAGTACAAAGAACAATGAAGGGAAACATGATAGCGGTCTTCTAAGACCTGAAGGGCTGTCACAGGGAAGAGAATGTGGATTTATTTTCCATAGTGTTCAAGGGTAGGAGAAGAACCAATGGACAGTAGTTTTATGGAAGGGAGACTCAAACTTCTTGACCATGAGTTATTCAGCAATGGAACAGTTTGCTTCCTGGACTTGTAGGGGCTCCATCACTGGAGATTTTCAAGCAAAGACTGGAATGGTAGGAGGATACATGGTCTGGAGGAGATTGGGCCTCCAAACTGCCTCCCAACCCTATGATTCTATGAACCTAGGCTAGATTATGTAGTTCTTAATCCCACTTCTATGTAAATACTTCCATCCTCTGGGTGAATTTCCCTGGCTCTTTTAGCCATGGCCAGAGTTATGTTGGGACAGGCAGGGCAGAGTTGGCTATCAGACTCTGTAGTACAGATCCTTCTTTAGCTGATCAGGGGACAGCTGAGTCAACCCCTATCATCTAAGTTCTCTTGCAAGTTTGTCATAAAACTTATGCTGCCTCTAGCAATTGTTGAAAAGGCAGGATATATGTTGCAGGGGGAGAACATTCTCCATTTCTAACAAGATTTCCTTCTTGCCCAAATTAAAATGCATCTCTTCCTCTTTTTTAATGGCTTTCTCTATGTGCAGATGGAGGAAAAGGCAGATGGCTAATAAAGGACTTGCAGCATTTAATTGCTTACATCAAAGAAAAATGGTACTGCATACAGTGAAAAGGCATGCTGCATTCCCACCCGAGCCTCAGAGAAGCTTCCAATGCACGGTCAGATTCTCTGTTTTAGCATGCAATGTGGCATTTAATTACCCTCATCATGGTTTGGCCAAGAAAAAAGCAAATTAGTCTTGCTGAAAGTCATTGATTCAAGCTTCCAAATACTTAAGTCTGAATGCAATGAGGCGGCAAGGTTGTCCTTAAAATCAGAGTGTCAATTCTACATACATTTTGCTTGTTAAATTTATGCTCCATCTTTTCTCCAAGAGGTGAAAGCAATGTACACAACCTTCTTCCCATTCTTCCCCAGAATCATCCTGTGAGGTAGGTTTGGATGACAGAGAAAGAGTAACTGGTCCAGAGTCACCATCTTACTTTATATGGACATGAATTTGGATCTTCCCAAGCTTAACCTAACACTTTAACAACTACACAACCCTGGTTCTATAGCTGATCCATGGCAAGCACAGTGTCATGGATCAACTCCCAACTAAACTGCAGAAAACTTCTGCAAGCTAATCTCAGGAGACAATTCTCTTAAAGGGCTTCTTGCAAACTTGGACATGTAGCAAACATATTTTGGAAAGTTAATTGCAGACAGGACACAATCTCCCATTCCACTTTCTGCCCAGGAAAAACCCATCCTTTCTCTGCATCAGAAGAAAAATCAAAGTAATTGCCCCATCTTCAAAGAGAGAAATTACAGCACATTGATTACTCTTCGATTCTTGGTATAGACAAAAGGGCTGATCTAAGGTGAGGGGTTTGGATATGGGGCAGGGTTTCAGGGAGGGACGGGTGACCCCCTAGCAGCATGACCCTGGAATCAGAATCAATTCCACACCCTGTTCATCAGTTCCAAACTGCTGCTCTAAATCTCTACCTGCAGGCTTAAAATAAGACCCAGAGTGCTTTGGACCATGATAGCTACAGAAGTTGCTCTCTCCCTCTGTCTAGGAATTCAGGTCTTTGTCGAGAGCTCTTAAATGCCATTGTAAGGGATCTGGAGAGGAGAAATACAGCCATTGCATGCTTTACCTGTGCAATTCTCTCTCCACTGAAGAGAGAATTGTTAGGTACTTTGGGTATCCTTTGCCAGAAAGGGCAGAACACATATGTTCAGGTTTGGCTGCTAGCCTTATAGGCAACATTTCAAATCTTTCTCCCTCCATCCCTATCTATCTATCTATCTATCTATCTATCTATCTATCTATCTATCTATCTATCTATCCATCCATCCATCCATCCATCCATCCATCCATATCCATCCATCCATCCATCCATCCATCCATCCATATCCATCCATCCATCTCTATCCATCTCTCCATCTCTCCATCTCTCTCTCTCTCTCTCTATCTATCATCTATCCATCCATCCATATCCATCCATATCCATCCATATCCATCCATATCCATCCATATCCATCCATCTCTCTATCTCTCTATCTCTCTATCTATCTATCTATCTATCTATCTATCTATCTATCTATCTATCTATGGCTTTGTAATAGTATGTAGGAATGACCTTGGGAGACAGGAGGAAGAGCCACAACTTGGACAATAGTATGGTAAACAAAATTTGAGTCTGAAGGAGGAGGGGTGGCAAACGTGTCTCAGAAGGGATCCTCCTTACTTTTGGGGACGGTAAAAGTGAAGGAAGGGAGGAGTACTATCAGAATTACAAGATTCTGTTAATATAACCTTACAATAAAGATGGAGTAAGTACTCCTGGTTATACTTCTTATCTGGACTACCTCGCCAGGCTAACAGGTTTAAACACTGAATATATTTTCTTATTGCTTTTAGAAACAGGGTTATATCTTTGCTTTTTTACTGATGCAATTATATGGATTTTATTATTATGTTGCCGCGTCTCTTGGGTGCTGTTAGGAGAATAGCAGGATGTAAATGAATTATTATTCATTGTGATGGAGCTCAGCTTCACTCTCATTCCACAAACAACTAATGAGAGAAAAAGACCTTGCCAGATTCTTCAGCAACTAAATTGGCCTTTATTAAGATGTTTTTTAAAAAAATCTTGCCAAGCTCATCCAGGAGCCCAGTGGTGAATGGAACAGAGTCTGAATGAAATAGGGGGAACACAGGGGGAACCAGCATTTGGCAAAGGATGAATGCTTAGTTGCTTCATCCAAAATCACTGTGTAGAATGAGTAAGGCCCAAGCAACACCATAATAAGGGTTCTCATTCTTGAGAGGAGAAAAATATCTGAATTTTGGGAACTGCTACCCAGCTCAGTAATTTTCCACTCTGTGCAAGGTTAAAATTTGGCTCCCAAATGGTTCTCATTCTTGCTATTGTCCAATAGAACAAGGTTTCTCAACCTTGGCGACTTGAAGACGTGTGGACTTCAACTCCCAGAATTCCCCAGCTGGCTGGGGAATTCTGGGAATTGAAGTCCACACGTCTTCAAGTCGCCAAGGCTGAGAAATACTGATCTAGAAGATACCAAGCTGGGGAAAAGAATTCAAGAGTGCATTCTGGTACCCTCTTTATCCAGAAACAGCAAGAAAACCATTTGAAACCTCCTGAGTGTCAAGGAATTGCTGCCCCCACAGTGCTTCCCGCCACCCTCAAGGCACTGTGTGCCTCTAGACAGTCGAGAGTCTTGCTTTGTTCCCTGGAGGAGAAGCAACTCAGCATCAACACTGCTCTACTTTGTTTATTGTTTGGCCAAATTCAGCGGAGAGCAAGGAACGTGGGCTGATGTCAAGGAATAAGAATGCTCTTGAAGTTGGGCTTTTAAGCATCAGAAGTCCTGCCTTTACCCACAGAACAGAAAGGGATTGTACGCAGTAACAAAGTTGAATGCTTAACCATTGAGACAAAGCTGTCTGAATGAATCAGTTCTGCAACTTCAGAAGCCTCCTATTGCAATGATCTTCTCTTTAGATTTAGACCTGGTTCACACATATTAAGCCAAGATTGGGTTCACTCATCAAGCAATGCTCCCATGTGGTTTGTTTTTGGCTTGTTGTGTGTACCTGGGCATTGTGGTTTGAACCCAACCAAAGGTTTATTCAACAGCCATTACTTAAAAAGTCTGGTGTATGCAATTTGTAAACTCAACCTATGTGTATAGTTTAGCAAGTGTTGGGAACTCAGCCATTCTGGTTTGCAAGCATGGTTTATGGCTTAGTGAGTTGTGCAATTCCAGACAACTGTGTTATCTTCAAGCCTAGATTGACAGTTTATGCAAAGTTATTAATCATGGTTTACAAAGTAAAAATTGCAAAGTTATCATAGCACGTTATGGTTTCACATAGTAGCTGCAGCAATCACATAGTAGCTTATTCTATATATCATGCTTGGCTACCCAACCATTATGCTTTGGGAACTGCGGCTTATGCTTTAACACAAGACATGCATCTAGCCACTATGATTTATAATAGCTGTTATAGCTTACGAGGTTATACAAACGCAGCCAATTGTGTCTAGGCCCATAAATCCCATGGCTTAGTGTGATGTGTAAACCCACCGAATTCATTCATGAAAGGGTGGTCCATGATACAGTTGGATTGTGACTTCAGGTACAGCCCCTGCCTGCATAACTATATAATGGACGGCAGAACCTGGCGTCCCACCAGATCTAGAAGGTTACCAGAGTGCCTCCCATCCTACGTAACGTTCTATATAATCTGATGTCTTGGGCAGATTGCCTGAAAGAGCCATTCGATTGCATGCTCCAAGGTCCAGACCGAAAGTATTTCAATGTATATTCTGATGCCCCATTAACCAAGTGGTAAAAATACCTTGGGAAAAGGCACTTTTTTTGCCAGATTGGAGCAAATGTACAGCTAAGGAAAATCGGAGTGGGTGGTGGTGGTGGTGGTGGTGGAGGAAGAGAGATACATTTCTTTTGTATTTCATTAATCAATGAAGATGGTGCTTAAATGAGGTTAAGACCGTGCCTAGTTATTAAAAGAGGCTTTTGCATTAAAAGCTGAAACTCAAGCAAGGCATTTAAAAAGGAATTGTTAAAAGCTTATGTTGTTAAAGCTCCCGCTTATTCCATTTTAATGCAGCCTTAATGGAACACTCTAACTCAGAGTTGGAAGCTTTTGATGGATACAATTAACTTGGGCATATCATTAAGTTGTTGTTTTTTAAAAAAAACAAAACAATGAAATACCAAACACTTAAATAAACATGACACATTCTTCTGCATAGTATAAAAGCCCCACAATTCTGGGAAGCAAAGACAAATGGATGTTTGTGCATTGAGACTTAACTCCCCATAATTTAAAAAGCTTTCAATGCCATATTCCAATACAGCATGAGTGAAAATATTCTTTTGGCAAGGACTACAGGAACAATCGGTTGAAGGCCATAAAACGGGTAGGGTTCAAGCAAAAGCCCTGGGGGTCCAACACCCCCAAAGCCTTGGTTGCAACCCCAGGACACCACCAAAACCTGTTACCAAATTGTAGCTGTCAACTTGACAAGAGGGGGAAAAATATAGATCTGACAAAAGAGTGACCATGTTAACCATATTTAATTCTAATTACTTGTAAATCAAAGGAATCCACCTTTAATTTTTTTCTCTTGCTTCTATCCTCTTCTTTTTAAAGTGTGTCCTTCAGGGTAGCCCATTGCACATCTGCTTTTTTGCTTAATGTTGTACAGTTCTAGCTAGTTTGGTTTATTCAACAAACCATGGTTAAGACACACTCAGCCAATAGAAGTGATGCACAAGGTTCCACCCCAAGGATGTACGATGAGACACAAGAGCAACTTAGAGCAATGCTGAGGGTAATAAGGAAGCAACTTCGTCATACAGCTTTCTGTAAGCCTAGAATGGCAAATGTTCTCTTTACAGAACTTAAGGAGGACGTTCAAAAAATTATCCAGATGACATCTCAGCACAATGTAGTTTTTGCTTAAATAGCCCTCAGGGGACCATGAGTTGTCTTGACTGCTTCCTGCTGTATTTTTGTAATATTCATGTGGCAGACACGATATTAACAATGACCAGTATATTAGGGAAATAATTTCCAGCCTCCGGCTCTTCACTGTTTGCTGAGTAGAAGTCTGAAATTAGGGGCACCAGAATATGACACATACTTAATGCCAACTATCAAATCCCATTTCCCATCTGATTCATTCAGTAACTAGTATGGAGATAAAACAGGAGGCATGCTAGAATGATACAATAAACACCATAGACCAGTGTTTCTCAATCTCAGGAACTTTAAGACGTGTGGACTTCAACTCCCAGAATTCCCCAGCCAGCCATGCTAGCTGGGGAATTCTGGAAGTTGAAGTCCACAAATCTTAAAGTTCTGGAGGTTGAGATACACTGCCCTAGACTGATTTTAAGACTCTTTGCATAAAAGCAAAACCAACCAAATGGTCTGATGCCCATCAAAACCTTAGCTTTGAACGAGCTCTAGCTACACACAACCAGCCTGATTATTTAAAATACAGTGTTTCAAGACAGAGTTTTAGGTCAGCGTTGGCTACGTGGACAAGGACACACAGGTTTCTAGGCAGCATTTTTGGAAGAGGTTTGCCATTGCCTTCTTCGTAGGGCTAGATGGAGTGACTGGCCCAAGGTCACCCTGCTGGCTTTCATGCCTAAGCCAGGCCTTGGAACTCAGGGTCCTAGTCAGCCGATAAGATAGGGATCTCTTTGTATACCAAAGGATATTTCCAGCAGGGGTTCAAACCATATCTAGGTTGGAAACCTTCTGCTACACTAGGGATATTCTACTCTAGTAACCCAGATTTTGAACCTGATGAAAAGAAATGATGCCTCTTTCCATTTTGACTGGAATGGTTAAGGAGCCATTCTTTTATATCAATGATGGAACAGCATCCATCCATTGCTCGCTACATCCTCTATCTGCCATCTGAGACCATGATCTCATTCTGCCTAATGGCAGGGTTGGTTCTGCATCAGCCACACGGATGAGAACTTATAAGCTTGGCTTACACCTACTGGAGTGAATAATATCGCCAGCTGTGTTTGTTTCATTCATTTGCTTGCAATTTATTCAATAACTTTAAAACCAGATTTTTTTGGGGGGGACACGTATACAGTTAAAATGCACCCCATAGAACATACTGTTGATTGGAGCTTCTATCTTGTCGGTAGTTATTCTATATATGTGTACTGCTTCAGATAACTGGGTAATGCATCATTTATTTTCCTACCTATTAGATATTTATTAGCCTGGATTGAGACGAGAAGAGGAAAGCTGTTTTATTTATACTATTTGTTGTGCTATTGATAAATTGAAAATTAGCTCCAGAAAGCTGCTTTTTCAGCTCAAGAGCAGTTTCATAAAATAATGAGATGCAGTTATAATTAAACCAATATCTTTTATTCAGTTTTATGCAGAACGAAGCATTTGATGATTGTCCTAACAGGACAAACTTTTACGATGTGTTACTCCAATACAGAGTAACACCTTGGGTCTAAAGTTGTGAATGTCCTAAGAAAAAGGAAATTTTTAAATTAAGAAAAACACCGAAGAACAGATAAGCTTTGTTCTTAATACTGTATACAGAACATATGACAATAGCGGATTGTCCAGGGAGAGAATAAGTGAAATATTGCTTAGCAGAGAGCTGGAGGGAAATTTTATTTCTGGACATCAGTGTACTTACTTCCTTACATATAATTCCTAACTTGCTTTTCATTAACAGTTCAAACTCCAAAGCAGGGACATAACAATTTAAAACAATGTATAATGAACACATTTTTACAAATAAAAAAATAATGAAAACTTACCTGCTGCTTTAAAACCCTCAAACAGCAGAGAATCCCCATAAAGGAAGAACATCCTCTCCAAGAGATCAATAGCAAAACTTCACTGATTGACTGATGAACTGCTTTTGCAACTCCAAGTGGGACAGAGCCAAGAAAATCAGTCTAGAAAGATCTCCTGATGTTTTAAATCAGGAGAAGAAGAAGAATTTCACCGGGCTTTGCGCCTGCCTAGGAAAATCAACACATTTAGGGTTTGGATAGAGTGTGCCTTTCAGCCTTCGCCACTTACCTGGTCACTTGCGTCCGAGTGCCAAAATCCAAAGACCTCATTGATTGCAATACTTCAATGCAGCCCATATACTAAAGATGGAGAGAGAAAGAAATCACAACCGTTGAACAATTAGAAACACAAAGAGAATGATGCTCTAATCAGAAGACCTCACTCCTTAAAATGGTAGTCAATACTTAAAGCATTTCATTGGTAGTTCTTTTTAAAAAAAATAGTTTTATATATTTTCACAAATGGACAAGAAGATTTAACCTAGATTGAGAAAACTGGGTTCAAATCTTAATTCCATCATAGGACCGGGAAGATCTGTATCGCTTCCTTTCTAGATGGCATGTCCAAGTTCTGACCCCTTCAGAGAAAACTGAAACAATCCCCTGCATATATACTGCTGAGGTCCGACATAATTTATTTATTTACCAAAATTGATGCACCTCCTAACTCCCAAGGCTCCACGTGAGTTACAGAAACATAGATAAAACCAACCATACAAGCCTGACGTGAAAGTAGAAATAATATATAGAAACAAATTAGCTGAATTTAAAAATGGTGGCCCGGGCCCAGAAAATCTTGTCCAATGATTCTAAAAAAATCTACCTCCAAATGCCCATCTAAACCAAAGAGTCTTCACACTCCTGGGGTGAATCACTGAGAATGCCAGTCTTCTTCTGGGGCAATGTAGTTCAATGATGCACCGAACCATAAACTGACCAGTAACTGGATCCACATGACACACAAAGGCACCCATTGGAGAAATATATTTTTGTCTGTCCTGTGTGATTACAGTACATTTAAAGTTCTTTTTAAACTCTACCCACTACAAGACTGTGGGTCAAGATCTTTGAGTGACTCTTCTGGGGATTTATGGTGGTCTACCCACCTTCCTCTAATAGTTTAATCACTACAACATGCTAGTAATTGATATTTCTGATAGCGTGGGGGGAAAAAAGAATAATCTGGACTAGTTTTGCTAGAGATGACAGAGAATTTGCATATGAATGGTTTTGGGGGGAAGCTATTGAAGATGATCACATATTTTATTTAATGACAAACACTGTAGCTACTGTAAGTCTCAAGCATTAGTAGTCAGTTACAAGAGGGGAAAGGAAGGTTTATATATGTTTCAAATCATGTCTTTGAAAATTCCCTTCAAGGTTAGATATCCATTAATCAGCATTTACAGTCTCTGCTCTGAAAAGCAAGGGTGTGCGGTGGTATTTCTCAGCGCCTGTGGGCTTTCGGGCCTTCCCCCCCTTCAGAACAGTAATCTTGCAAACCGGCTGGCTGCAGTTTTGCCACCCTTGATGAAACCAAAGATTCGGAGGAGTAGGTGAGTCACAAGCTGAGATCATATGACTGTGAGTAAGCTCCCCTAAACATACGCGTGGGATGCTCAATTGAGCAAAACCTTGGTGGTGGTGGGGGAAGTATGGAGAGAGGAGAGAAATCAATACTCAGGGGTTGACATCCATTGTCCTGACTGGAGTTAATCTTGTCAGACTTTCCATAAAGGCCACATTTACATAAAAGCTGGGTAAGGAAAACATAGGAAGGCAGGAACAGGGTGGTTTTAAAGAGGTATTCAGGTGGCTTGAGCTCTTTGGACTATTCATGACTGTTCAGTACACTCTTAGCTGTGTAGGAAAGGCCTCAATTGTCTAGGACAGTGTTTCTCAATCTTGACCACTTTAAGATGGGTGGACTTCAACTCCCAGAATTCCCCAGCCAGCATGGGAGTTGAAGTCCACCCATCTTAAAGTGGTCAAGGTTGAGAAACATTGGTCTAAGAAATGAACATCTTTCAAAGTTCCAAATCCTGATCACCAATCTTGAGTAGGTGAGCTGTCATCTATGGCTTAACCAGAAGGAGCACTACTCCCCTTCCCCAGGAACACCATCAGGGCTGGATGTTGTGAACCAGGACTAGGGTTTCACAGCCAAGCAGGGTGGAGAAACAGCCATTTGCACCATGAGAGGTAATCAAGGGGGCAGTGAATAGACCCATTGCTAAGTCTTTGGGCTCATCTCAATGTCCCTTTTTGCTTTAAAAAAATGTGTTCTGCAGATTAGGGAAAGAAAAGCTGGCTGAACATAGCAAAATGTTATTTGTTGTCCTTTAAATTTTTTCCCCCCTTTTCTGCAACATAAAAATGTTCTTCCCAAGTGAGACATCTAAAAAGGGAGGGAGGTGTAATTTTGGGAAGTTGAAGTCTAAAATTACTTCCCTGACCTTCCATCTTCTCATTTCTCCCTTTTTCCATTTTTAACTCTACCACTATGCAGTGATGGCTTATTTACACAGCTCTAAGAGCAGAATGGCATCAATAAAATAATTTGGGTGGGCCCCATGGGGGCAAAATTTATTTCTAGGTGGCTGAGTTATATCCTGAAGGTTAGATTTTAGAAACCGAAGTGACTGTATTTTCATAACAGCTTCATGGGACTCATAATTGGGAGAGGCCAGTAGGGGATAAACTCTTTTTGGAGAGTCCTCAGGACTTCTATTCTGCTTCACCCCTCCTCAGCATTTTGAGAAAGGGAAATGCAATGCTATGGTTACCTTATGTTCACTGTGAATGACAGAGGAACTTCAGGATTTTGAGTTTCTTTGGGCAATAAAATATCCCTGGGGAACTATTAATAGCTCCCACAGCTTTTCAGCAGGCTGGTTGCTTAGTCAGAGACTTGGGTTCTCAACACAATTGCTAGTCCTTTGCATAGAGGTCAAGTCTCATGACTCATTGAGAGTAATTACAAAGGAAGTGGATGGAGCTGCTAACTCCCCCCCCCCCTTTCCCCCTCACATAAGACTCAGAGCTGCAAAGGTCTCTGAGGAAACACTAGTGCCCAGTCCCATTCCCTCCCCAACTCTCCAACTCCAATGTTATAATTAAATGTTGGCATCTAGCACAGTGGAGCAAATCAACAGGGAGAAGCTAAAAGCTATCTTTTGCTTCCTGAATCATAGATGAGTCCAAGAAGCACTGAGTCATGGAAGTTCATTTGATTCCCAGGAGATATCATAAATTTGATGGGAAAGCTTTTATTTATACAGTATTCTCTACAAGACCAGGGCAGGTACTTAGAAATGCTGTTATGAACTCTCTTTGTCCAAGTAGAACAGGCAGGGTTAGGGAGTAGGAAGCACAAGCAAAAATGTCTGTGGAAGACAGGCATTTTAATGGAAAGTTGAAGTAAGATCTTATTTTCAAAAAGATCCTACTCTCAGGATCATGTGTGTATAGGACTGTAACCTTATTCTGTGCTTGACTGCTTTACATTTCAAGGAACCTATAGCTTTCATGTTGTGGCTGAACTAGAATTCCCAATACCCTCAGCAAGTACAGCCAATGGTGAAGGATCCTGGGAGTTTATCACATCTGAAGGGTCACTGGTTTCTCATCTAGGCAAATGTTGAAATATTATAGTGAGGAGATAGGAAGAATCTTTGAGGGAGAGGGCACTTAGTGGGGTGGCAGGGAGCAGCCTTGCCATTTTACCTTCTGATTATAGTGTTTTGTGAGATTTTCTCAAAATTCCAAATTGCTCATCCTCAGGGCGAGTGTGCTAAGATGGAGACAAACTGGAAGATTCTCCCAAATACAGTGGTACCTCTACTTATGAACACCCCTACTTACGAAATTTTCAAGATACGATCAGCTCCAGCCCCAAAAATTTACCTCTACTTACAAACTCGCCTCCACTTATGACTTCTGATTATAGTGTTTTGTGAGATTTTCTCAAAATTCCAAATTGCTCATCCTCAGGGCGAGTGTGCTAAGATGGAGACAAACTGGAAGATTCGCCCAAATACAGTGGTACCTCTACTTATGAACACCCCTACTTACGAAATTTTCAAGATACGATCAGCTCCAGCCCCAAAAATTTACCTCTACTTACAAACTCGCCTCCACTTATGACCCATTTTCCGCCCGTTCCACGTGGTCCACGGCCATTTTTCTGCCCTGCCGCGTGGTCAGCGGCTGTTTTTCCGCCCCTGCTGCGTGGTCCGCGGACGCCAGAACGGATTAACGGTAATTACATTGAACCTTATGG